AACCCTTTTTCATTAGTTTTCCTTTTTTTTATATACAGTAAAAATTGATCCCATTTCAAAATGTATCAAAATAATTACTTTCTATCAACGTAATAAAACGTCAATTAAATCAAATAATTGCTCTCCACCACCGTAATTAATTAACCAAAATCGTGTCCCAAAAGAAAAGAAAAACTTCAACCAAAAGGATTTTTTGTTTTGACACCCAAATAAAAGTTTCTTCTAGTTCTGGTCCGAACTCCGCTTTCTCAAACCCTTCGTCGCCTCAAACTCTCTCTCTCTCTCTCTCTCTGAGACATGGTGGCCTCGTCCTCATCGTTGTCTGAGTACTCCTCGGACTCGTCCTCGTCGTCTTCGTCTGCATCTCGCCGCAGACATCATCGCCACCACCGCAGTTGCCGAGACAAAGACAAGGATAAAAACAAAGATGCCCTCAAGATCCGAACAAAGACCAGTCGCTCCAGCACTAAACGACGTCGCAGACACCGCCACCGCCACTCCTCGTCGGATTCTTACTCTTCCTCCTCTCCTTCCGAATCCAGGTCAATTTACAAAACCCTTCTTTTATTTTTTCGGCTTATTTATGGTGGCTTTAATTTTGTTATCAGTTTTATCGTCTGTTTGATTAGGGTTTTGAATTTTGTGACTAATTCTGAGTAACCCTAATTTGAGTTATTTTATTCGGCGTTTAACATGGTTATGTAAATTGTTGCAATTTTTATGCAATTTGGTGATTTGTGTAGTTCCCATAGCTAACATTGGAAAGTTTCGAAACGGCCCGGATGGGAAAATTAGGTTGTTTTCATCTCAAAGTTCAGGTCTTTTATCTTTAAATTTGAAAAAAAAAATGCATCAGTTGGTTAAAATCAATTTAAGTTAAATTGAAGCATGGTTTTCGATCCGGAAGCTTTAGTTGTCAAAGGGAAAGTAGTGGATTATATTTAGGATGTGTGGATCCTGTGAGGTGCGTCGACTAAAGGTAATTGATAAGGGCTATATGGCTATTAGGCAAAGATTTTGAGTTGCTGAAGTGATTCATATGCTTTGTTATGGATTTTTCTGCTTTTAGAATTTCAATCTGAAATCATTATTTTACTGGGCAGTGCGGTTTAGATGCACGTTAGAATATTAATGGTGGCAGTTGGATGGCTTTTCCTTTTAACATCTTTTGTTTTTTGTTTAATGTAGAAGTGATAGTTCTTCGGACAGTGAGCTTGAAACATCTAGTAAGTCAAAGAAGCGCAAGAAGAGTGACAGACATAAGAAGGTGCTTGTTTGGCATTTCTTTGTAACGTAATTATATTACATTACATTTTCTGCTAGAGGTCGCACTTGGTGCGATGGCAAGTGCCTTCGCCCATGAGCGGTAGGTCTCGGGTTCGAGACTTGGGAGCAGCCTCTCCATAAATGGGGGTAAGGCTAGCCGACATTCACCTCTCCCAGACCCTGCGTAAAGTGGGAGCCTTGTGCACTGGGTACGACCTTTTACATTTTCTGCTAGTCCTTTGGTCTCATTTAATTGATCCGTCCCATCTAGGGCAAGGAAAAGGACCAGAGCAAGACTCATCGCCGTAAACATCATAGGAAACTCAAAGAGGTAGGCCATTATGCTTTATGTAGCTCTCTTGAATCCATATGATTCCTCTGTTAAAATTGTGTTAAGGCTGTTATCATTGTCCTTTTCTAGCTTATTGATTAAACAAATTAATTTTTGTCAACTCTATGACATTTGTTAAAATTGTTATACATGCATCGTGCTCTAACTTCAAAGAGTAATAAAAAGACTTAGAGACAGTAAGACAAGACGTGGAAGTTGATCGTGCATCTTGCCTCGATGTGACTTTTTTGTCCAAATTTGTGATAATTTGATTCATTGTCTGTTCCAGACCATGGCTTAACGAAGATATATGCTGGAACTCCACTGCGTTTGTTTATATAGTTGTGGATGCATCTTGATCCACCTTCAGTGTGTGGTAAATAATTTTAGTATGACTAAACAAAAAATTGGACGAGAAGTTGCACATAGGAAGTTTTCTCTTCAAACTTACCTGTTATGTTCTGCTAATTAAACTGTGACATGCATACACACAGTTTCTTGCATTCACAAAGTTGGCCATTGAATGCATATGATATTATGTTTCAATAGCTGAGGTGCTTATAGTACTTTCTGCCTGTTTTATGGATTGGCTCTTCGAAATTGGAGCTGGGGTCTGTGGCATGATGACTGGGTGCTTATTGGCTTGCCTGGATAATGTGTCTGGATTGTGTTCTTTCCTGGCAATGGGAGCCATATATAGAAACAGAAGAATGAGAGAAGTAGCGGCCCTGTTCAGCTTTCAAAGGTTTTCATTTCACTCTCTTATAATTACATCTTCAATATTCTTTTTTATTTTATCGTATTTTTCTATCAGTGAAATAACGTTTTGTTTCCTGCAGTTTTTAGGGCGTGACAAAGATGATGGAGTTCGTCGCAGTGCTGTCTCTGGAAAAAAGGTAAGCCTTGCTCGGTAATACTATGTGTACTGTTTATCAAAGATTTGTTAGAGATGTTAGGGGCATCTGCGCTGGTCTATCCCTTGTTCTTTTGTTGTGGCTAAAAATAGAAGAGAAAATACGTGTTCCTTCGTTTTGCAGATTCTACTGAAACTTGAGAAGACAAAGGAAGACAAGGCGGCTGAAGACAAAAGGAATGAATTGCTGAAGTTCTTAAATGCTAGTTTTGATTGATGTTGTGGAGTCCATGGAATCAATGAGTGAATGAACGAGTTGAGTAAGTTCCAGCATCTGCTCCCTCATCTTAACGATTTCGAAAGGACTTTCTCTTAGCTCCAAGTTTAGCAAAGAGTCGTATTTTGCACTCATGTTCGCCAATTAGAGTGGTTGAAAAACTTTGGTTTGGCCGATGTATTAGTATTCATTTTGTACTGTCATTATATATTATCTTATATCGAGGATTCACCCCGGTAAGCTTTTTCAAATTGATCAGTGTAGCAAACTTGGTAGCTGTTTGATGATTTGCCTGTGCATCATGCTAATAAACAGATTAATTGATCAATTTGTAAAGAGTATTTTATCACTTTAATGTGGAGGTTTTTGTTTTCTCATAATTTTTTACCGTTTGTCGTTCATTCCGGGTGATGTATGAGCAGAATGCAGGCTGCATGTTATTTTTGTGTATTTCAACAACTTTGAGCAGATCTTGGGTATAATTATCTACATGCTCTATTGCCTGCCGATTAGCGAAACACTTCCGGTAGTGCCGATTCGGTTGTTTCTATATGATAATATAGACCTTGTTTGCTGCGATCCCTGCGGATGATATAATGAGAGTGAACAATGAATGATCCTCGTGATCGAGTTTGACTCAAGCGAGTCAGTGAAAGGCGTAGCAAGACAGTGAGTTTAACTCAAACAATTGGCAAGTGAAGAAATGATCTTTTTGCGTCAATACTTAGAAAGCCTAATATACAGAGAGATTTATCATCTCATGCAATGCAACCAAGTTTACTTAATATGAAGAAAAATTTCTTATCTCATGCAACTAAATTTTAGTGTTAGATGCCAATATTATGTGTTAAAAAATGTACTACCGTCCAATAGGCGATTGTCTCTTGCTTTAGAGCAGTTTCATAGTAATTGTTTTTAGCATCTTCATCTCTAAATTGAATAACAATGACAATAGGCAATAAAATATTAGTAATTTTTATTTCATACAATAATATTTTTATCTAGTTCCGTCGCGCCACGTGTTGTTACATTTTTATAATCATTGAGTATAAATTTCTGATAAGATTTTTATCTAATTCTGTCGCGCCACGTGTCGTTACCTTTTTAGAATCGTTGATGATAGATTTTTTATAAGATTTTTAATAAAACACGGGTGCCACATGACATTATGGGTTAGAGGACTTTAAGAAAGAAAAGGGCCCAAAGGCTAATAATCCTTCGTGTGTTAGGAAAAAGATTTATTTTCCAAGTGTACATCAAAATTACAAATAAAACAATATGATAAATCGTCTTGTGGATTTAACAGGGACAAAGTAGTCATTTCCCATCACCCTCAGCTCCTATATAAACCCCCTTGCGCAATTAGGGTTAGCAAGTTCCTCAACGGCTTTGAGCCTCCACCCAAGCGGATGCGTTCTGTCTCTTTCTCTCTCTCTGTCTTTATATTTTACAGATGGTTTTTGAGGTTGAGTTCCGTTTAATATGATTGGTTTATTGTTTGTGTTTGGTGTGAAATGTGTGGGTCGCACATAGTTCTTCTTGGAATGTTATTCTCTGGTTCCAGGATTTTATTTGTGCGTAAATCGATATCCTTTCTGCTTGAACCTTCTCCTTTCAATGGGGATGTGTTCCAATGTTTACTGGATCACAATTTTTCTTCTTTCAACATTTTAAATTTTTATTTATCATACACTTGGATTCTTATTTGCTACTATGATTTTAATTTTTTTTTTCTTTGAGGTTTCATATATCAGCTGCTATTAAATCATCTTGAAGTTTCTTGATAGGCGGACTTTTGTTCGGGGAACCAAATATTTGGACACCAATTTCTAACCCAGATTAAAAAAAGGTGAAAAAAGTACAAATTTTCGAACAAGGTTGGCCGAGAGTTAAAGGTGATCCCTGAGAAAAGATTAGCTCTCGGTAAAGGAGAATAATTTTGAAACAAATTGTTTCCCAATCTCAATTATTCCTTCGAATTTGTATTTGTAATATTGGTTTTTTTTTGTCCAACAAATACAAACGGAAGTGCCAGTTGTGGAGCAAGATGTGCCAATATTTTGAAATTATTAGGGGGTTTACTAATCTGGCCATGATTGTTTCTTTCTGGTGGAATTGTTTATTTCCAGGTAGGGTAATCTTGAAATTGTTTGAATTTATTTTTGTTTCTAGGTACTATTATCTTGAATTGCTTGGGCTTTTCTCATTTCTTGTAATGATTTTCTTGAAATAACTGGATTCTTTTGCCGCATAAACTTCTAAATGTGCTAAAATATTGGCAAACTTTAATCATTCGTAAATTAATCACCCACTCCTCCACCGCCTTGACCCGATCTTGTGGTTGGTTGGAAACAGCTCCCAAGAAATCCTGAATGGTGAGTAATGACTGGCGAAGCCGTTTGAGTTCTGCTTTGAAACCCCAAGCAAGACTGAGTCCTTGAGGGTGGAAGTTGACGGTAAACAAAGAAGAAGATCCGCTAATCGACTAGATATTCTCTGTACGCAAGAATGAGACAATTGTAAAGACAAGGGATTCCAAAATTGGTAAGAACGCATTGTAGTGCCTTTACAAGTGTCTAATCCCTCATCTATATCATACTGATCTTCATCAATAGAGCTAAATCTATCAGTTTGATGGCCCACTGAACTTCCATGAACCTCAAATGCTTCATTAATCTCCTTCATGTCTATTTCCTCAGCAGAATTTAGTTCAGAAACTTCACTGGCATAACTCCTGGTATCCCCTTTGGATGTTTTTATACTCGGTGCCTTTGAAGCTCTACGTAGTTTTTGACACAAGTACTCTACTTCTCTCTGCCCAGTGACAAAGACGAGTATGCCCCCATGTGGCAGCCTCTTGTGAATTGCCAAGACTTTTTTATATGCTTGCTCAATATAATCCTTTTCCTTAGTTCTCTGTGAGAAGTGAATGGATACAGGAAACTGTCTGGTGGGAACTTCTATAACTGGTGGGGGATCATGAAAAAGCTTTTTACCAGAAATGAAGTCTTCCACTCGCAAGGTGGCACTCATCAGAACAAGCTTCAATGGAAATATCCGTTGATCAGGATTTATAGTTCTTCCCAAATGCATTTCCTTTCGCTGCTCTGCATATCTTTCCTGCCACCATATGCAAATCAGTACAACAAAAGGGTAAAAAACTCTTGGCAATAAACATTCTTGAGTTTCACCTCACGAGTACAAATTACACGTGAAAGCATTCCAATAAGTATGTCGGTGTTCAAGCTCCGCTCATGAGCCTCATCAAGAATTATGACAGAGTATCGCTTCAACAAAAAGTCATTCTGTACAAAAAAGAGATTCCTTTAACTACACCGAACATGCATAGCTAAATTAGCTATACTCCAAAATCGCATAAATGTGACAGTAAAATAAACAGGTTGGAAATAGATCCCAAGAAGTAACGGTCAATTCTTGAACACTTGAGAAAGGGGAAAAACTAAAACCATTCAGTTCAGGTTGAATAAAAGTGGCCCATTTGAGCATCTTCATGCAAAAATAAATTGTACAAATACTATTCAATAATCTAGTAATTCCATCCTCATGGTTCAATAGTATGTATATAAATATATACATGCATATACATCATGATACTGCAACTTGACATTAATGGCTTCATTCTTATCCTTTGTTGGCTCTTCAATAAGATGAGAGAAACAAGCAAGGAATGTGAGTGAGGAGAAGGGGGTGTTATTTTCAAGGAAAAAAAAAAAGTAACGATATTGTTGTTTTGATTCCATCATCTCAAACCATCTATTTATCCAGTTCCCTTCAAAACTAGTCCTACACACAAATGTTGTAATATTATGTGCAAATAGTTTGGCCCAAAAAGCCTAATCTCTCACTCACACACACACACACACACACACACAGAGAGCATAAGTATAGCGAAAAAGTGATTGTTTGATGCATAGTTATTTAGATCATGATATGCATTAGAAAAAACTGCTTAGCTATTGAACCTGAAGTTCCCGTAGTAATATTCCATCTGTCATGAATTTGATGGAGCAACTTTCACCAATCCTTTTGTCATACCTTACTTGAAACCCAACCTCTTTACCTAAACGTACACCAAGCTCATATGCCACACGCTTAGCAGTAGCAAGGACTGCAACACGGCGAGGTTGAGTAACACCAATCATACCACTTCGTGCAGAAGAGGAGCTAGAACCAAAGCCAGCTTCAAAAAGAAACTGCAATATGTGAACCAAAATGTAGAAATTAGGAGAGTAAAGGACATTAAGACCAAGCATACACAGTAACGATAAATATAAAAACAATAATATGGCAATAACCTACTTGAGGAACTTGGGTGGTTTTACCACAGCCAGTCTCTCCGCATATAATAACAGTGGAATGGTCATTTACAGCCTCCATTACCTCCTGCTCCATCATTATTATAGGAAGATCCTTCCTTGTGCTTTCAACTTCCTTGGGCCTTGATACATGCACTATGGTTGGGGAAATAAGAGGCCTCAGTGCAGGAGAAATTGATGATTTACTCACCCTGCTGATATTTGCTTTTGGCATCTCTTTTACGCGGTCCTGTCCAAACCCATCCCCAGGTACAGTTAGTTGGTAGCAGTCACATACAAATGAATGTCACTCAGAAGATATATAAAAAACCATAATACCACAGTTCTAACTACTGTTAAACAGTAAAGTATAGCATGTTGATTGTGTTTTGCACATTGTTAGTCTGTGACTCTTAGTACTTATCCAAAATCCAATGTCATATCCAATTGCTCATAGGACGTTATTTGTTTGTTCCTGATTTTATTTTCTATTGAGAAGGAGGGAGTATCGTAACAATAGAATATATGCCCAAAGACCAACTAAAGTTTCCTTTTTAAAATGCATCAACCAATAATGGGAGGATGTAATCGGTTAGCCAAATGAATAACATGAAGAAAAGATACTTTGACAAACTCATAATATGATGAAGAGACACATACCGTCTTCGATTTTTCACCATCACAATTCACACATGAAGTGGGAGAAATGTTTGTGTCTTGTTGCAAAGACATGTCAAGTTTGTTGCTAATAGCATTTTCAATAACTGACGAGGTAGCAGCAGTTCCGCCATTGACGCCTTGCCCTCTGCCACAAACTTGACCTTGAGAGGAGTCCAATGAAAAAGTTGTCTTCTTTTGGATTTCTTTTTGTAATATCTTCGACTGCACCTGATCATTCTTGCCAATATCCCGCCATGATAGGGTTTTTTCTACCTCAGGTTCACTTTCACTACAAGTATCTATCTTGTTAAATGGTTGGGGGTCAGTCACGAAAGCTTCAAAGCCAGCTTTGGAAAATAGTACGCCCTTTTGACATTTCTCCTTTTTAGACTCAACCTAAAAACATAGTGATTAAACAGAATGAAACTCCTTTTAAGAATAAAGAAATGAATCGAAATTTGATTAAATGGCAAATACAAACCTTGCCAATGTTCTTCGAAGACTGCAGAAGAGAATATGCAGTCTCTGGAAGCTTATATTTCCTGATAAACGTAAACAACACAAAGTTAATTTCATCAAACCCATCTAGATATCAAGCAAAAAGAGGGAAGGGAGCAAGGAAGGTATATATAGACATACTCTAAGGCCTCAATGCTTTTGGAGATTGAAAGGGCTTTTTCCTTCTCATCCTGGAGAATTTAAAAACAGCAAACCATTCCAAATCCAAATCAAATTAAGAGAAAACCGAAACAAAACGAAAGTGCGCAGATAGATAGACCAACACACGTCCAACTTCTTCAGCTTCCTCTGCTGGGATTTGCCAACCGCTGGTGCTTTTGTTTTATTGGGTTTTCCACACTCCTAGGGTAAAATCAAATTAAGCGAAGAACGAAACAAATATCAAAACGAAACGAAAACGCACAGACAGATAGACCAACGAACCTCCAACTTCTTGAGCCTCCTCCGCTGGGATTTGCTAACCGTTGGCGCTTTTCTTCTTTTACTGGGTTTTCCACACTCCTAGGGTAAAATCAAATACGATTCAGAAACAAATTAATTGGAATTCATTGACAGAAAAGATGAAAGCGGTGATATCAGTAAATTAATTTCAGTTTTCACCTGATTGGTGCCCTTCCTTTTGTTTCTCTTAGCTGGCAATACGAGGGCGTTGCTATCACCGCCGCCATCTCCCAAGCAAAGTTCCATGGTTGGTTCGTCGATTTACCTTCCGGCCTCTGCTTCATGTCACAGCCCCAGAACGGTCGAACAGGCTGCCGTCGCCGATTCGATGTTCAACTGACAGGGTTTAGGGTTCAAGTAGCCATGTCAATAATCATGGTTCCCCACAAACCATAAACCCTAAACCCTGGCTGCCCCTATTTTAGGGGCGTGTTTACGTGTCGTAATCAGAATCAAAAGTCGGAATGTGATTCGGTACGGGGTATCCTTGCGTTTAGTAAAATTTGGAGGAATTAAAATGTTGGGGTGGGAGGGAGAGGGTGGTGGCGATGGCCGTGCCGGCTGGGGAGGACTGACGAAGGATGCTGGGAGAAGAGGAAATGACGTGAAGGTTTGAAAAGGTCGAAAAATTGGGCCGCTTGGGGAGTAATGGGGGGAGTAAAGATCCTCTCCAGATGTAAAAATTAGGAGTGATCTGGCAGTTGATATTTAATCCAACGACATTAAATTTCAACGGTCCGAATCATTTTATCTTTAGGATTACTTTTTTAGATCCGGAGAGGATCTGTACTCGGATCATTTTATTAATTATCACGTAAAATAACTAATTTAGATTAAGGGTAGTTTAGTAATCAAATAGTTTCAATTCCAATTCAAAAGTGTGAATTGGTAAACAATTTATCTAGAATTGACATTATTCCTACTCCGTTTTCTGATAGTTTAGTAAACACCTTTATTAGGAATCTCTTTCTTATTTCTCATCAATCAAATTCTTTCTCAATTCAATTTCACCTATTTTGATTACGGATTAGTGTGCATTCAATTGAAATTTAGAGAGATTGTCGTAGATTTATAAATTCATAGATTTTTGGTGGAGTTTAATAAAGAGCTTTAATGAAAAGGGCTTCTCAAAAATTTTTATTAACCAAAAACCATATATTAACTTTATTTAATAAAAATGGTTTAAACTTTAATAAAAAATGTTTAAATTTTAATGAAAAGAACAAAAGTTTTACATAATAACGAAAAAATAAAAAAAAATCAACAAATACTAACGCACGATCCCACACCGCGTCATATCACACACATCCACACTCTCTCTCACTCAACCGTTTAACCTCTTTCTCTCTCCCTCTTTTGCATATTATTATCAATTTTTCTCTCATTTCACCTCACCCATCCACATCAACTTTTTCACTCTATTTTTTTTCACCTCTCCCCACGCCATGCTTCTCTCTCCTTTCACCTCACTCCATAAACAATTTATTTATTTATTTTATTTGACTATTCTTTAAAAAAAATTTAGAACAAACTAATTAATAATATTACAAGTTCAAAAATAAAATAAAATTTTATTATTCAGTTTTATGAACACTAATACTGTCACTTTTCTTAAACAGGACATTGACTACTTCTTAAACCAAAGACTATTTCTTAAACTGAACAATATTTCTTAAACAAAACACTAACTATATCTTAAACGGAACACTAATACTATCACTACTTCTTAAACTGAGCATTGACTATTTCGTAAACTGAATACTGACTATTTCGTAAACTGAACGCTAGTAATATTACTATTTTGTAAACTAAATACTGACTGTTTCTTAAACCGAACACCTTGTAAACTAAACATTGATTATTTCTTAAACCTAACACTAGTGTTATCACTATTTCGTAAACTAAATACACTATTTATTAAACCAGGTAATAGTACTATCATTATTTCATAAACTAAGCACTGACTATTTCTTAAACCAAACACTAGTATTGTCACTATTTCGTAAACCAAACACTTACCATTTCTTATAATAAAACACTAGCACGATAACTATTTTTTAAACTGAACACTAACTATTTTATAAATTGAATAAAAGGTTCAAAATTTGAAGCTCTCTTGTCATTATCATATGAATAACAAAGTTAGAATAATGATTTTCACATTCCTATTTGTTCTTTAACAATTCTTCAAACAATTTATTTGACTTTTCTTTAATTTATTCAATACAAAATTAACAACAAAAGCATAAATGAAAGATCAGAAAAGCTAATGTGCTTTCATTAAGGATCATAATCCAATATTTTTTATTTTTAGGGTTTAACTGGTTAGGGTTAAAATTAATAAAGAATTCCATAATTTGAACAAGAGATGATGATGAGAGGCTACCTTAAGTGCAGGGCTAAGCAGTAGTCATGTATTGATGTCAGCAATATAATTTTTTATTTCAAATTTCTCTCTCTCTAAATTTTTTGGGATTTATTGATGTCAGTTTGAATGGATTTGGTTAGCATTCTCTTCTCTTTACCCTCACAGTCTCTCTCTTAACCTTTTCCTTCCTGATGAAATATTTAAAAAGTAATTTGTGTGTTGCTTTTGCATTGTTGGTTTTTTGTTAAATTGATAGATGCTTGCTTTCGCACTGCTCGCGTGTGCACACGCTTTGAGTTGAACAAGTTTTTGTTTTTTTTTTGTTTTTTTATCTCTTGTCCTTATCAATAAATAAAGTTAGTGGACGATTTTTGGTTAAAATTTAAAGTTTTAAAACTCTTTTCATTAGTTTTCCTTTTAATAAATTTATAGAGATTTTATGTAAAATTTTGATTTAATTTTCTCAAAATCTCCAAGAGAAATGTGAGATATGAGAATGTTTAAAATACATTAGGAGATCTCATTCTCTTAAATTCTTCAACTTTCTAAAATACTTTAAAATCATTTTTTATTTATTTATAAAACAATAGCGTTCATTGATAGAAATGAGCCAAAACAGCTCTATTTGAGGTAGTACATCAAAGATTACAAGTAGATGGAGAGACTATTTACAAGCAATTCTCAACTGAAGATCCAATTAAATACACTTGAAATATTATAAATTTTTTTGAAATCTTAATTGAATACGGTGGATTTCTAAATAGATAATGCTAGGAAGAGAGGTCAAATTTTTAAACCAAAATTAATAATTCACTTATCAACTTCTGGTTTACAAAATTCCATTTGGAAATTTAGTTTTCCTAACATTATGGCTTTAATTAAAAGTATTAAAATCCCTCAAAATCCTCACTTTGTTTTTAATTTTTTTTATTTTTTTATCAAACCACTGATTTTGTTAGATTAACCAATGATACAGTTCAAATCCACGTCATCATGTAAAAACTCAACACTTTTCTACGTGGTAAATGACTATTTGCATCTTCGGAAATTTGGGAAACGTTAAAGGAAAGCAAAATGCCAAATATACCCTTAACTCCGAATCCACACACAGACACAGTTATTGGCGGTTATTGTACCTTCCCAAACTTCAAGTATATCTCTTTAGCCGTACAATTACGGTTGCTCACAACTGAGCTTAAGCGACATACTCATCTATCAGCCATGGCTGTTGCCACAACAGTCACTGTGAGCTCACTATGTGCATCTCCACTGCGCTCACCTCGCACCGTGCCAAACTTTGTGTTCCAATTCGCACCAAAATTCTCGTCTTTCAAATTGGGTTTTGAATCTCTGCAACTCCGGACCACTCTGCCCGCAACGAAGCTTGTGGTTCGAGCCGCTCGAACCGAGTCCAAAGGGGTCTCTCTGGGCTTCCGAGCTCCCAATTTTGAGGCATTACATATATACTTGTTCTTTTTATTTTTTGCCAAAATATACTTGTTCTTTTTAAATTTTGTTCAAAATTTGTTCCTTATTTTGATTGTTTCGGGGAATTGGTTTCAGATTCCGGAGCCACTTACTGGGAAAGTTTGGAAATTGGAAGATTTTGAATCACATCCTGCTTTACTGGTGAGTTTCTTTGTGTTTTCTTCAATGGTGTTTTGGATGATTATTGTTTGATTGATTTTCTAACTATATGTCATGTATTGGACATTGGCATTTAGTTTGAGTGGATTTTTAGATAAATTAGCATGAACTGAAGTAGGTCCTTATTAAATAACAACTGCAAATGACTTTACGGTCGTTTTACGTACTAGAATTTGAATTTAAAAACTTGTTAGAAGTGGCACAACCAAGTTGTAAATGGAAGATTCTTAGATGCGGAAATTGCAGTGCTTGTCTAAGCCAATAAGGAGGTTTCCTTTATTTTGTTAATGATGATTCTAGGTCTTATCGTTGCTCTGAATTACTTGTAGATCAAGTACATAGATATAGAAGTTAGTTAGTTCATTCAATTCACTTATTTTTTTGTCGTTTGGGAATAATTTACACTTGGGGCCCGTTTAGTGGCCTGGATGAGATTCGACTTTAGAAATAGGATTGGATTGACATAGACATGTAAGACAGGACGTGTAACCCATGTATAAGGGTAGGTTAGATAACCCACTTTATTGTGGGTTCATAACTCATCATGCCCGATCGTGTCCACCCCACATTTGACTCATGCCCAGTCATTTCCACCCCACAATTGACACAACAAACAAAGGACCGGAGTCAAGTTCATTTTAATTGGTCACAACTTATCCCAACCAGCTCACCAAGCAGGCGTTTGTAGTACTGACAGCCAACGGCTAGCCTGCTAGATATCCGAGTTTTTGGAATGTTGCAAGCTTTATATCACTAAAAAATGAGATAGTATCTCGCTATTTTCCATACACAGCACGCTTAGCACTGGATTAAGCTGGGGGTGAGAGCATACACAACTAACTAGAATACCATTGATTATCCCAACCTTGAAAATGGATGAATTCTCTGGAGTCCTACTAAATAGTTTGATCACTATTAGTTATTTGGTTGCTAGAATACCACTTTAGTTCATTTCTATAGTACAAGAAATGCAACAGTCTACATATAGAAGTTTACATAACTATTGGCCAATAGATTATACTGAGCAAGATAATATTCGTTCCAAGTGTCATTTCTTGAAGCAACCAATTTATTCTGATTTAACTGGAACCTTTTATGCTTTATCATTAGTAAGGAGATCTATGTGCCATCACCGGACATCTGTAACGTTTCAGCTGCCAATTTTTCTGTGCATACCTGCACATAACCTAGCTAGGTCATATGTAGCTTGAGAAAATTAGGGAAAATAATTATGAAATCTACTGCGATATGTGACATATGAACAGATCAGCACAATGGACCTATAGTGCACAAACTGTAATCTGCTGCCTCCTCTTAATGTTGGAAGTAAAGTCTATGTGGTTTCTTTACTAAATAAAATATTAGATTGCATACATTATGTCTTTCTTCGCATATAAGCAAAGGATTGGATGCATGTTAACAGTGCGATGGTGCAGGTTATGTTTATCTGCAACCACTGCCCATTTGTTAAACACCTGAAAAAAAGTATCGTGAAACTTGCAAATTTCTATATGAAGGTAAGACTTTCGATGGCTGAAATTTTTTCCTTCTAAGAGGCTTGCTTCATTTGACAGTTGTACCCCAAACTTCACCGTGCAAAGGAGCATATGATACTAACCTATTCAAATGTGTT